AATAAAATGGACGGACTCTCTTAAAACCAGTATAAAATTTATGTCATTATTACTATATTATTCCATGTTATCTTGAGTATTTGAATGAAGACAGTCTATTTCAAATATATCGTTTCACTTTTTACGCAATTTGAACAAAATTGCAATTACATTTCTATTCTCATTTACTCACTCATTTATTCATTTTCTCTCCCTCCCTCCCTCTTTCTCTTTTTCTGAGATAATAGATTTTTTGAAAAACGTTGCGTCAATTTATATACTCTTGATAGTGGAATAGAACATAAATTTCAAAGCGTATTGTGCGTTTACATTTAGCGGGAACTTAAGTTGGCGTTCCATTTGAATGGAGTTTCCTGTGAGCGATTAGTACAAAACGGAGCGTGGAATATTAATTGACATCGAAATGGCAGATTCGCTCGATTTAGCATCGACGAAATTTCACGCTTGCACGGCTCTCACATAGAAACACAGCCCTTCGATCTAGTCTATATCAGCCGCGCTTCGAAATTAACGACGTTAATGGACGTTAAGCGTAATGGAGGGCTAATTATAACGACGTACTGGGTTATATTTTTCTGTCGTTCCAGCACAGTCAAGGATGTAGCCGTTATACCGGTATCATAAACTCGCAACATAATGGCTTGCCACGTTCGAGCTAAGCGTCGTACTGCTCCGCACCTGTGTACGCACCCGGATACGGCACAACCGTTACGTGCTTTTCCCATTTTTCTCGTTTTTATTTATTTTTCTTTAACAAGGCACGGCGATTTTTGGTTTCACCTTGCGCCGCCACGCCGTGCCGTATGCGCTGCTGCGCTTTTCCGTGTCCCGCATTTTATTCGATCCGCAGCGTCAATAACGCTACGTTTTTGGAAAGCTTCCAAACTCGCTCGGATGCATACCACTCTTCGGTTAATTCCAATTTATAGGTTATCGCATAAAACCGTGTAAATATATGCGGGCTCTTAAGTTGCGACGCCTCTGGCTCGGACAGGTCTTTTATGGAAAATTTGTGCGCCTTTCATTGAACGCTGTTGGCGCTCGCGACTTCTGATCTCTCGTGATTGTTACTTGATCAATTATCTCTTTCTCCTCTCAACAGATGTTATAACAATAGTGTCATTCTGATGAATTAACGATGATATACGAGGTCAGTATTGTTATTACTCATCGCAATAACCCGCACTCATTGGATATCACTGTCATCCAGATCGGCTTGTCTCCGGTCTAGCATTTTTGTAATCCAAATTCAATAAAAATGCAGTTATTGTCATAGGTACTCACTTTTTCTCCAGTGTTCTCGTTTATTGACACTTGTGTCGTGTGGCGAATCAATTTGCTCCATGTTATCATTCGCGTAATGTTATTCTATAAATGTGCCGGGTATTGTGTACATTGTTTAATAAGAGATGAGCTCTCTGCACGGTTTACAATTCTTTCAATTTTGATCAGGGTGGATATTGTTTGGTCGCACCGTAAAAATAGCAATTCACATTGTAAGGAAATGCAATTTATTTAAATTTACAGAACAGTTCAATAGTCTCGTTATTACAGAAATATGCTATTGCACGAAAATATTCGAATAGTTATGTAATTATTTTGAACAGGCCACATATATATATGTGTGTGTGTGTGTGTGTGCGTTTTTTACCTCATGTATTAAATTTTAGAGTAAATCACACAAAAGTAAATCAACTTTTTTATCTATTGACTTGCATACATATTTTTGTGTCACAAAACAAAATATTGATGTTACGCAGATAATTAATAGATGCTCGTTAGTCATTTATTATTCATTATTATTTATTAGTCATTTATTACGATAATCCATTAAAATTAAACATACAGTATTATCTGCTATAAATCATTATAAATCTTTTATTTTGCTTTTAATTCGAAAAAACTGTTGTCATATGTCATGTTTTTGACACATTCTGGACTATCTCCCGAAGAAATATGAAGCTCTTAATTGTAGTGCATATGTATACAATCCACACAGTTTGAAATAATCCTGCTTTACTGTCGTATTGTATGACAAGTTTCTATCTCAAGTGTCACGTAATGCTGTCGAGAACGTCAATTATGAGAAAGATGAGGTATGGTGTTAATGGGATGGAAGTTATTAGCGATATTATTGCACGCCTTGGCATCTCATCCTGTAGCTCGTTGTCGCGCGCTTTCGATAATGGACGGGCAATACGACGCATAGTATGCGTCGTAGTGCATAATTTACGTGCAAGCCACGACTATATTCGGTTAGATGCCTTTCTAAAGGTAGGGCATATTCGTGGATAACCCTTCAGGAATTTCTAATCGAAGCTGGTCGTTGTGATACACTTGGCGTGAATTTACAGGCATTCGACCTATCGCACGTGCTAACTATTAATGAATGAAGCTGAATGCTGAAGTGTTGTACACCATGTTTACTTTTCATGTTGGATTTAATTTTATAAAATTTCCTTAATCTTCAATCTATTGTGTATTTTGAAAATTTAAATTAGACTTAAATTTATTAGGATTAAAATAAAAATGATACTCTTTTTAGTTTAACTCATTATCTCAGAAGCATCAGTAATGTAGAGCCTATATATTTACATAGAGAGAATAGTTTTGTTCAAGTATTTAAAAGTTTAGTTAAATACAGATCTGAAAATAATTTTGTTTGGACCATCAAATTAGTTATGTAGGATACTGAAGTTGTTTGCTAGAATGTTAAAACTTTTTGCAGCATTGTTGTTAATGCTTAAGCTACGTAATTATGTTGAGGGTCTAAAATTACTTTTAGATCTGTATTTAATTAAATTTTTCGATATTTTTTAGCAAAATCGTTCTTTTCGTGTACGAACACTAACATTTTCACAAATTTCAACGCAAAATTTACGATAACTTGCATTTCAGCTCTTTTAAATTTAGAGTTTTTTTCTGTCGTATTAGAGACTCTAACGAAAAATATTCAGATGCGACTTTCCGTCGAAGATGTCATCTCGCGAGGTAGAAATCCAATAAAATTTGTTCATTATTGGAGTCCTCGGAGTTCTCAGGACTAAGTTTAGGATGAATAACTGTTATTCCACTCGCGCAATTCACGTTCCGAGTTCAAGGTTGAAGTTTCGTTATAAGCCCTGTTTGCAGATCATACACCAAGTTTTAATGTTCTATACGCAATCGCGTTGATGTAGATGTTTCCAACCGGATCCGCTCGTTTAACTCTCTGGGTCCCGTTGACCCGTGCAATTCGACATGACACTCACGAGAACTACGTCTCTCTTGGGGATGGCAAGCTGAACCAATAGCAAACGCCGATGGTGGATATGGTGACCTGTACGTTGAGCGTAGCCCATCCGAATAACTATACATGCGTGAATACGCACGTTAGCGACGTCAGCAATTAAGGTAATGGCTGTGTAATCGTCGTGGTCGATTTATAGAAGGAATTTTCGATCCATATCATGCGACACGTTGTTAACGTTATGCGCTGAAAATTGTCGACGGCCGAATACCTCGCATGTGCGAATCCGCGTTTAATTTAACTTAATATTACATTAATAACGTGCGGTCAAGTGTAACTGTTACGATTCAGACAATTGTGTTATTACGTCATCGTACTTGAACAAAATGACGTATTTTAATTAAATTGCATGTAATGGATTGTAAATATTTTATAGTTCGTTTATTTAAATACAATACTATAGAATAACGTGAAAATTATTGATGTCTGCAGGTAATGCCGATAGAATTGCATTGCACACGTGCGAGTATATATCTAGATAGAGTTGCTGGATATACTATGCACACGCACACATATATATATATATTACACTATAGGTAGAGAATACAGGAGAATACACGTACATTAATACGACCAACAATTAGTGTAATCGGTCTTTATGGCCGCATCGCAGAGAGGTTTCTTAATTACACAATTCCACAAAGAATATATTATTCCATAACATTATGATTACCTGTAGTATTATTGATTACGACGCATTAGCGTAGATATGCAAATGTCCTATGATCGATGATATTAAAATGGCAAAAAAAAGAAACACGCAATTATCTCAGAGTAATTAATAATACTTAGTTTCCCGTGTTATTTTTGTCGTTCTTGCTGCGCATTAATCTAAGTACACTGATATTAATCAGTTGAAACATCTATGTAGTTAACCGTTGCATGTGGTAATCGAAATGTTACGTTGAGTAATTAGCAGCAGGCTCAGGTATAATCAATCAAGCGTCGTCCACGAACTGGCGATGTATAAATACGCAAACGAAATGTTTACGAACACTCTCGTACATATTTATGTATGCACGTGTTTTGGGTACGCATAAACATTTCCGTTGCGTATACATTAACATTGTGAGTATTAAAACCTGTTTATAAAATCAACAATTAAGATAATAACGCGCGAAAACTCGCTACAGTAGACTTTTAGTTTACTTGGGAGAGTGTTTGTTAATTGCGAATGATCATTCATCCGTTTATCTTGATTTGCGAAAGATGTATTTGAACATTAATCGCATGAGGGAAGATTACGCGCTCGTTCGAGAAACCGTAATAGTAGACATACTGTCGTATTTATTTTCGGTGTGCTCGCATTTTGTAAATTTGCAAGTCATAATGTGCTAATTCCGCATCATGAATTTTAACAAGATTTCTCGACGTAACTTTATTATGTCGCGCGCCCTTCTTTATTATCTCGCCGTTCGTACGACACATTTTTATTCGGCGTTTCCACGGCTATAGCAATTTACGTCACTCCAAACGACAATTTGCGCGTCGTGTGCGGGTGGTAACTGATTAGTCGCTTTCGCATTGATTATCGAGCATAAACCGGCGTACGAAATTTCGATCACGTAGACACGCATCTGTATTCATCCGGCCGTTCGCACATACACGCATTAACAGCCTCAAAATACTTCAGACAATTCACGATGCGTAAATGTCGCAGCGTGTCCCTGGTAAAGCCGAGTGGAAATCGAATATTTTACGCTTTACTCACTGCATACTGGACACTGTGGAACTTTCTAGGATGTCCCTTCACGGTACGTGGCGAGATGTAATACTTCATTCCATTAAACTGCAACAACAAAGTATCGACAATTAGCCCCGAAGCTGTACGGAAACGTAGAAAAATTAATATATCAAGTAGAGATATGTAATTATATATTTGACGTTTACCACAAACACAAAAAGAGACTACATTGTAAATCTATTTATATCCAGCCGTTAATTCGCTGGAGAGAAGAACCACTTTTCGTTCGATATAAATCAACGTCGTTCGTACAAACTTTCAAGATCCTTCCAGCAAAAATTATTGGCAGGTGAAAGCTGCGTGTATTCCTCTTGCGTCGATGTAGCTACATATATATACGATATGGCTATGTATATCTACGGACCGCTCGATATATCTTGCCGAAGTTAGGATATCTCGTAGAATGACATGTCTGACGTCACGACGAGAGATCCCGTCAAGTTGAATCATCTAGAGAATTATAAAATCATTTTTAAGATAATTTACCGTAATGCTCATCCTTAGGAAAAAGTGTTTCAATATATTAATTAATCGTTCAGTAACTAATGATATTTCACCAGTAACTGATGAAATATTCTCAGTTACTGAATAGTAAACCGAGAATATTTCATCAGTATATTGAAACACTTTTTCTTAAAAGCATGATATTATTTATTGAATTAATGTTACAACAAGTCATAATTGTCTTCTCAAGTCTAATTTTGTGGATATTAGTAAATGCCATTACTTTTTTTACGACAAATATTATTGACATTGACGGTATCTTTCGATTCGCCGTAATGTTAACAAAATATTTGCTAATTTTAAAGCAAGATTGGCGTACAGTGATGGGTCGTTAAAAGCTGCGCCGTACTTGATAGGCAACTGTGTTAAGCCAAAAGCCCCGTTTTCAGCAACACCCATCTAGCTTCCGTGAACTTTAACCTGCCATGTTGACGGAGAAGAGTAAACTTATTGCAGCACTCTCTGATGGACCACTTTTAGAGAGTGCGGGCTGAGTAGCCGTGGTACTCTTGCAGCGTGTTACGTAGATGGATTCACCGAAGGACGATGGATTTGCCCATGTATCATAATCATTAATTTCATTGTCATGATGTCACGTATGTGAATAGATCAACGCGCGCCTGACATTGTCGTATTTCACATGGGATTGTAATAATTCTGACGCGATATTTTAATTACCGCATTACCATAATTATTAAAAAAGACATTAGATGTTTACACTACATATATTTTGTTAAATTTGTAATTCAATAATCTGTGAAGTCTCGATTTCATGATTTATAAAAGATATATGTAGTTAACATCAATCTTTATCGTAATGTAATCGATTTTTTACATATAGCAATCCTCTTATTATCTTCTTTAATACCAATAAATTGGAGCATTTGTCTGGAAGCTTTAAAATCGCAGGATAAAAGAATTAGACTTTTCACAAAGTTATTGGATGTTCTTGCGAAGATAATCCTTGCTCTGCTTGGATTGCCCGTCTGCTTTAGTATGATTTAAATGCATGTACTTTATATAGTAGAAACTTTAACAAGAGAATAAAATGTCCCTTTGTTGCGTTTATTCGATTTTATTTCAAAGATGATATTATTTTTCAAATACATGTACTATACTGTATTTTACTCATATATTTTTTATTAATCAATAATTATAATATACTGTTATGAAATTATTGCCAGACAGAAGGTAAATTTTTTCGAAGTTATTAAACCGATAATTGCTTTCCTGTTTACAAAGTATTTAATCGTACAAACAAGATCCACAATATCATGCCGAAGTTCGCGAATATGAAACAACTTTTTTCAAATCTTTTTTCAAATGTTTTTTTTTTTAGAAATATAGAGGAAATTTATATATATGAATTTCAATTAAATCATGTATTGCGCTTATTGCTTCGGACAAATTCAATTCTTATTGATTTACATGGGACCGTGACCCACATTCCCTTTGGCAAACTATTTTTCATTTCTCTCGCCGTCTCACATAGCCAGTTTCATTTCCTTTTATTATTTTCTCGCATCCATGAAACGGGAGTGGGCTGATTGGCGAGGAGTGAGCAGTTTGAGAATGATACTGCGACATGCTTGGCTGCCTTGGCTCACTGCCGTGCATATTATATTTTCTATAAAGCACAGCTTTTTCAAATATGTATGTCATATACGAGTATTCAATATTTTCAATTTTTTTTATCGACAATTTTGATGATTTTTTTATAGCACAATTCTTTTTTTTTACATTTCTATTTTTTTTTCAATATACGATTCTATACATAATTTAACAAATAATATAAGATATCTCTCTCTCTTTCTCAGTACTATCTTCGAGCAAGTATAAAAAGAGTTATACTTTTTTTTATTATATAATGTAAAGAAGATATAAAAAATCAGAAAGCAGAAGTATATAAAGAATAAAAAATATGCAAAGAATATGTAGAAAGTAAAAAAAAAAAGAAAATCGTAGAATATGTTCTGCTATTCACGTGGCTTTGTTCAGTCAAATGGAAAGTAAACTGAAATTTAAAATTCGTTAAAAAACAATGTTCGATGAGCACAAAAAAAGGACGGTATTAAATCAACGACGAACTATGTTTACTTGATCGATTAAATGAAGGTAAATCGTTGAATTGAACGTTACGTCAAATATTCGATAAATTTTTTCTAAAATCCACACATTTAAAAGATAAAAGATATCTTTTGAAATTGATATAACTATCATCGTTTGTTGAGTTATTTCCTCTGGGTTTCTAAGTTTTTTTTTGGATGTCTTTGTTATTAAAACATTTCGTTTTCAACATAGATGTCGAATATTTTATGTCTCCCGAGGCACACAGATAAAAATTGTACAATAAAGATTCTGATATTTGCAATGTCATGTTTAATCTTCTTTATCTGCCATTAGTGACACGAATATAGTGTACAACAAAAAGCAATATTAGTCTTTCGGGGTGCAAAGCAAACGGGAAATCGGAATAGAGGAATCCGAATACCGAATTGCGCGGCATGAAAAATAAGCGAGCTTGCTCTTTCGCTTGCTCATGGTTGTTTTGTCTGGTACAAAGTAAACGATAGCGTAAATAGAAGAGTGGACAAGATAAACGAAGACAACGAAATAGGCAGAAACGGCTGAATCGATTCGCGAACAGTCGAGTCGTGCCGAATACACAGTCCACTAGTCAGAAGAGGCTTTGGTACCTGCTTGCTTTGATGATAGTTTTTAGAAGTCAGAACCGTTCTGCTTACCGGCCATGTAATCTTCAGATCATTGATTTGGAAATATCTTTCATAGTGGTCGTATTTTCAACCTTGTGTAGTATTCTTCGTCTCATCGAATAATCTAGTTGACTGTAGTTTTCAAGATTGCACAGAATGTAACTTTATGCTGATATATTACATCGCGTAATATTGCGAATATGTACTCTGTTGTATGTCAACAAATGTAATAGCAAAATATGTATAAATTGTTTGCACTTCGATATTAAAAAATTATTATGATCTCTTCAAAAATATATGAAAGATAAAATATTCTCTTCTGTCATCTATTATATTTATTACTGAAAGTGTCTAAAAAAATATTAAGTAGATAAATGCAAATTTGAGAAATAACGGCGTTATTTTTATCATTACTTTAATTTCCTATTATCTTTATATTTATGTGATCTTTAATGCATTGTGCCTTTGTACTCAAAGTGTTATGCGTCGTTTACAATACACGGAGTGAGAAAAAAGTAAAAATAAGAAATTGACCAATCACAGTCGATTATTCTTCTCACATTCAGCTGTGATTGGTCAATTTCTTACTTTTACTTCGTGTATTGTAAACAATGCATAATACTTTGAGTGCCAAAGATATTTTGAATGTTTAATTTTCCTACAGGGCCCAAAATATTATTTCTGTTTGAGTAAATAAGGAGTGCATTTTTGTTATCAGAAGCAACTACAATAAAACTATCTTCGTCTTCTGATCCCTGAAGACGAAGATAGTCTTAGCCGCGGTCGCTTCTGGTTGGATAACGAAAATACACCTTAGATCGTCTCCCAGAAATGGAAGATGGGGCCTCGGAAATTTGTGCATTTCCTAGAATTGGAAGACGTGATATTTAAAGTATTGATAGATCGTATTATTTTTAGTTGGATGGAAATATTTAATTTAAATATAGAAATTGAAATATTGAACAATATTTTGTACTTTGCATTATGTCTTATTGTTAATATGTATTTTGATAATCATTGTTAATATTGAAAATCTGTATTATATGTATATGTTATATGATTATAAATTTTCAGTGAATATATATATATACATATATATATGTATATATGTATATATATATGTATATTGTATATTGTATATGAGAATCCATTCTTTAAACATTGATATTAATTACCTTAATATCATTATTAAAAGGTACGTTCCATATTCACTGTCAGTACTGAAAATTTAGTAGTTTACATTACATATTACAGATTTTTAGTATTGGTAGTGACTATCAAATTGCAATCTAACAATAAGACGTAACATACAAAATATTTATCAATATATAAATTTCTATATTTAAATGTGTGTGAAATATTTATATTTAATAAAAAATAGTGCAATATTTTACTTACTTTTAAAATTAATAGTATATATATATAATGGGTTAACAAATTTTTTTTTACAAAAAAAGCAATGAAAACAATAACGCATTATTTTCATAAAATAACGTTCTCAACTTTGAGTAAATGTTCTACAATAATACGGAAATTATTGAATGAAACGTGATAAATTCTATTAATAATTTTCTACTGGAAAAAGATTGTAAAAAGGTAACAAATTTAATATCTTGAATCGTTGTTTTCGATTCAATTCGAGAAGAGACTCGTACTAAATGATTGAAATTTCTATTCTAGAAGCGATGAAGAGGAATGCGTTAAACCCAATGATCTGTAAGCATTTCAACATTCTTAGAAAGCGGTGAAGTTAGTGAAAAGAAGTCTTGACGACCTAAAAAAAGAATTTTTATCTTAAGTCAAGTGAAATTGATCCATCGAGTTGAA